TTAGGGGCTACTTTTGTGGTGTAGCAGGATAAATTACTACTTGTGAGGCCAGAATCCCATAGTTGAAGAGCCAGTTCAAGTATGGCTTTGCTTCTAATCCAGTTCCCTGCTAATGTGCCTGAGCAAGCAGCAAAAGATGGTCCAAGTGCTCGGGGCCTAGCCACCCATATGGAAAACCTGGGTGGAGTTCCAGGCTCCTGGCTTTGGCCTGGCCCAGCCCTGGTTGTGGAAGTCAATGGGGAGTGAGCAGTGGATGGAAAAAAATCTCTTAATCTGCCTCTCCTTCCCTCTTTGTCAGTCTTTCAAATAAATCTAAAATTAAGAAAAGTATTTGAAAGCAGAGAGACAGAGAGAGTCTCTACCCACTGCTTTATTCTTCAATTGCTGGTACTGGGCCAGACCGAAAGCCCAGGAGCCAAAATGAATCCAGTTCTTCCACACAGGTGATGGGAGCCCAGTTACTGGAGCCATTACCGCTGTCTCTCAGAGTCTGTGTTCACAGGATGCTGGAGTCAGGAGCCGACGCCTGATATTGAACCAAGGTATTTTGCAATGGGATGCTGGCATCTTAACCGTTGTCTTACCCATCAAGCTAAATGCCCACCTCCTTAGGATTTTTTTATCATGAAAAAAATTTAATTTTGCTAAACTTTTTTGCATATATAATAATATACTATATATAAACCTATATATGTATATATAGAGAGGTTTTCCCTTTTTTGTCTTGTATTACAAATAATTATATGGTTGATTCTATGAAAATATAAAAGCATATTTACTGATTCAAATTATGAAGGTTATAAATCAAATTATGAAGGTTGAATTCATTGTATTTGAAACTTTTGAGGGCTGCATTGAGATACAATGTGCATGCTTATAAAGTACACAACATTGAAGTGTACAATTTAATAAATGTGGACATATGTATGTATATATGTACCTCCACCATCAAGTTAGTAGATCTATATATCTATCAACTCCAAAGTTTCTTTGTGCCCCCAATATTCCTCCCCTTTATCTCTTCCCCTGCCATGGACAGCCACTGACAGGCTTTCTGTCATAATATATTTGAATTTTCTAAGGTTTTCTATAAATGGTATCACACAATATGCACAGTATATTTGCATGAATATTTCTTTTTAACTCAGAAAAACTATTTTGAGACTTATCCGTGCTGTTCTGGATATATATTGTTGAGTCCTAGTCCATGAAAGGGCTACATCACAATTTGTTTGATCCATTCACATGTTCATGGATTTCTGGCACTAAAAATAAAGATTTTATTAACCATTTGTCTGAATATACCTTTCTTTTCATCTGGGTGGAATGGGGGTTTCATTGGTAGGTGTAGGTTTACTATTTTCAGAAATGGCCAACTGTTTTGTAATGTGTTTGTGCAATTTCACACTCCCATCAAAAGGATATGAGGGTTCCAGTTGCTAAGCATCCTTAGTTTAAATTTGCATTTTCTGAACATGTTGAACACCTTGTCATTTTCTTATGTGCCTTCTGTATCTTTCCTTTGATAATGTATTTTTACGAATTTTTTACTCATTTAAGTTCATTTAAAAGTTGGGTTTTTAATTTTCTTATTAATGGATTTAAAAAAATGAATTTGAAAGGCAGAGTTAGAGGGAGGGGGATAAGGAGGGAGGGAGAGAGAGAGAGAGAGAGAGCGAGCTGCAATCTGCTGGTTTACTTCCCAGATAGCCACAGAAGCTGGGCTGGGTCAGGCCAAAGCCAGGAGCTAAGAGCTCCATCCAGGTATCCCATGTGATACAGGGGCACAAGCACTTGAGCCATCCTCTGTTGCTTTTTCAGATGTCTTAGCAGAGATCTGGATCAGAATTGGAGCAGCTGGGACCCAAACAGACACCCATATGGGATGTTGGCACTGCAGGTGGTGGTTTAACCCAGGTGCCACAATTCCGGTCCCATCTTATTAATGAATTTTTTTAAAAAATGTTTATTTATTTATTTGAAAGAGCAACACACACAGAGAGAAAGGGAGAGACATGATCTTTCATCTGCTAGTTCACTTCCTGTATGACCACAATAGCTAGGTCTGATGCCCAAGTACTGGGATCATCTTGCATTGTCTTCCTGGGAACAATATCAGCTTCCTGGATGGAGCAGCTGGGACTCACACTGGCACCTGATATGGGATGGTGTCCTCGCAAGCAGTGGCTTAATTTGCTGCATCACAAAACTGGCCCATTATTAATGAATTTTGAGAGTTTGTTTGGTGTTCTAGGCAACTTGTATCATTTATATGTAATTTCCAAATGTTTTCTCCCTATGTGCAGCCTGCCTTTTCATTCTCTTATCACTGGCTTTTGAAGAGCAATTTAAAAAAAGTTGACACTTGATTTAATAGTTTATTCTTTTATTAATTATAGTTTTGGCATAATATCTAAGAAATTATTGACTAATTCAAGTTAAAAAAGATTTTTGATATTTTCCCTCTAAAAGGTTGAAACTGGGGTGGGCATCTGGTATAGTGGTTAAGATGCCACTTGGGATACCTATGTCTCCTATCCAGGTGCCTGGGTTTGAGTCCCAGCTCTGTTTCTGATTCCAGCTTCCTGCATAACTGGTTTTGACCTGGCCGGGCCTGGATTGTTTCAGGCATTTAAGAAGTAAATCAGTGAATGGGAACCTTTGTCTCTCTCTCTGTCTACCTGTCTCTCTCTGTTTCTCTTGTTGTCTGCTGTTCAAATGAAATAAATAAACTAAATTACAATGTTTAATTTTTTTTAACTTTTATTTAGTAAATATAAATTTCCAAAGTACAGTTTATGGATTACAATGGCTTTCCCCTCCATAATTTCCCTCCCACTCGCACCCCTCCCATCTGATTCTGAGGCTGATTCTGAGGCCAGAGTGCTGTTTAGGACATCTGCCATTCTATGAGTCTGCTGTGTATCCCGCTTCCCATGTTGTATTGTTCTCTCCCTTTTTTATTCTCTCAGTTAGTATTAGCAGACACTGGTCTTGTTTGTGTGATCCCTTTGACTCTTAGACCTATCAGTTTGATCAATTGTGAACTGAAATTGATCACTTGGACTAGTGAGATGGCATTGGTACATGCCATCTTGATGGGATTGTATTGGAATCCCCTGGCACATTTCTAACTCCACCATTTGGGGCAAGTCTGATTGAGCATGTCCCAAATTGTACATCTCCTCCCTCTCTTATTCCCACTCTTATATTTAACAGGGATCACTTTTTCGTTAACTGAAACTCTCTCTGTCTACCTCTGCTGTTCAAATTAAATAAATAACTAAGTTATAAGTTATAACTAAATTACAATGTTAAATTTTAAAAATATTTATTTATTTATCTAAAAGTCAGAGTTACACAGAGAGAGAAGGAGAGGCTGAGAGAGAGAGAGAGAGAGGTCTTCTATTTGTTGATCTGTTGGTTCACTCCCAAATGGCCTCAATCACTTGGGCTGAGCCAGTCTGAAGCCAGAAGCCAGGAACTCCATTTGGGTCTCCCACATGGGCCAAAGAAATTTAAATACTTCAGCTATCTTCTGCTTCTTCCCAGGCACATTAGTAGGGAGTACGATCAGAGGTGGAGTAGCTGAGATTCAAACTGGTATAAAGATATGGGATGCATGCATCCCAAGTGATGGCTTAGCCCAACGTACCACAATGCCAGCCCACAAGATATAATCTTTGCAATGTGTCATTGAATTCATTTTGGTAGTGTTTTATTATTTTTTTCATCAGTGTGCATCAGAGATATTGACTTGGAGTTCTATTTTCTCATGGCATTTTTTTCTGGCTTTTATGATCGGGTTATGCTGGCCTCTTAAAATGAGTTCGGGAGTTTTTCCTCAATGTTTATAATTTTGAAGGGTTTGGGAAGGAATAACATTCATTCTTTTTTTTTTTTTTTTTTTTTTTTGACAGGCAGAGTGGACAGTGAGAGAGAGAGACAGAGAGAAAGGTCTTCCTTTTGCCGTTGGTTCACCCTCCAATGGCCGCCACGGCCGGCATGCTGCGGCCGGCGCACCGCGCTGATCCGATGGCAGGAGCCAGGAGCCAGGTGCTTTTTCCTGGTCTCCCATGGGGTGCAGGGCCCAAGCACCTGGGCCATCCTCCACTGCACTCCCTGGCCACAGCAGAGAGCTGGCCTGGAAGAGGGGCAACCGGGACAGAATCCGGCGCCCCAACCGGGACTAGAACCCGGTGTGCCGGCGCCGCTAGGCGGAGGATTAGCCTAGTGAGCCACGGCGCCGGCCACATTCATTCTTCTTTGAAGCTCTGGAAAAATTCAGCCATAAAACAAATTGGTCCAGGGCTTCTTTTTTTTTAGAAAGCTTTTAATTACCACTTTAATCTTTTTTATCAGTATATTAGATCTTCTATTTTTTTCTTAATCCAGTCTTGGTAGCTTGTATGTTTCTAGGAATTTATCAGTTTTCTCCAGATTATCCAATTTCTTGGTATAGGATGAATTTCCTTAGCCAAAATGCTTGGGATCAGAATTGTTTCAAACTTTTTCAGATTTTAGAATATTTGCATAGATATAATGTGTTAGTTTGGGTAAAGAACCCAAATGTAATGGCAAAAATCACTTATGTTTCATATACACCCATAGTCTTAAACTTATTTTCACATAAGTATTTAATTGTAAAAAAATACAGCTTATCATCCAAACAGTGAGAAAAAGGAATGTGTCCTGAGTCACTACACAGCACAGCAGCAGCAGCAGAATATTTGTATCAGATTTTGGTCTCCACTGATGATGCTGTGTTTTAATTTAAAAGTTATTGTGCCTTGTGTTTTTGTGAGTGAGAATAAATATCAGAAGTGGTTGAAAGGACAGAAAGTGGTTCATCTAGGGATGAGGAGGCATTCTGCCGTACAGCTTTTAAAAATCTTTCCTAGGAGTCACCTCCATCATTAGCAGTGATTTCTGTCAAAGTCCTGCTTTGATTTTATCAACAGGCACGATTTCTTGTTCTTTTACGAATGCATGCTCTAGACCTTCAGTAAGTTTATCAGACATTTCCACCACGACATCAAAAGACCCTGTTTCTGCAGTGTTAACAGCATCACCTCGCATCGTTACTATTGCTGCAGTCCATTTTAGCTATTTCACCATCAACCGATGAATAAGCAACTGAAGCCTCATTATCTATGTGCAAATCTCAATATCTGCTCTGCCAGCTCTTTGGTGGGCTCTGAAAGTATACACATCTTGCATATATGCAGAGATCAAACATCATTTTTTCCTCATTTGATGTGCAGAATCCTTCAAAGACACTTCACAGTCACTACTTTGTTTTTGTCACTAAACAGGACAGAGGTTGTGCCATGTATGCACCATTGTGCCTTTGGTCACTGTGTGTCAAGTATCGGCAACAGCAGATAGAGTATCTTTCATGCTGAACTCCTTTTGAAATCCTTCCACATCTACACTTCTGCTCACTGCTGCTAGCATACTCTGCCAGAAGGTTGTCTTTGCAACTATCCTGGTCCCATGACTGAATTTATCAATCACATGGTGGGGGGTGCTTGCATTATTGTTTTTAACGAGAATTTTCACTGGAAGATAAGTAGAACAGTTGTGAAGGAAGAAGAAGATCTTGTGGTCACTGTCCAGTCCACCTTCCCTATGGTGAAGATGAGTTGCTGATTTGAAATATTTGTCAAGCTGGTCAGAAATGATGTTTTTGGCCATCTATTGCCACCCTAGTCCCATTTTTTTTCTAAGAAAACGCTTTATTTATCGCTTTATTTATTTGAAAGGCAGAGTGACAGAAAGAGATGGAGATCTTCCTCTAACTCACTCCCTAAATGCCCACAACAGCTTAGGGCTGGGTCAGGTTGAACCTAGGAGCCAGGGACTCAATCTGGATTTCCCACATGAGTGGCAGAGGCTCCAGCACTTGGGTCATTATCTGCTGTTTTTCCAGTTGCATTATCAGGAAACCGGATTGGAAGTGGAGCAGCCAGAGCTGGCATTCCAATCTGGGCAACTTAACCTAGCACAATTCCACCTCTCCCCCATGTATTTTTTTTTTAGCACATTAATAGTTCAGTAAGAAACTCATCCCTTTAAAACAGGCAAGACACAAACCATTGGCTATCTCAGCAAGTTTATGCTTCTGCTTGCCTGCTGCGATGGCACATCCCAGCATAGTTATACTGCCATGAAATCTTTAATTACTGTAGGCACTGTCTCATCAGCCATACTCATGGGCACTAATATCTAAACTAGTGGTGTATAGGCATCATGATGTTAACATTGTAGACTTGTGTTGGTGTCAGACTTTCATCAGCAATAAACTTGATAAACTTGACAATAAGTTTCTCTGTTGATCCATGATCAGCCGATGCTTCGTCACTACAAATCTTTAAAAAATTTTAGTGCTGTGATGTTTGCTGAATTTCTGCAATCAACTAGTTAACTATTGTTTCCTTTCTTCTTCAATTCATTGTGATAGATCTTTGCTTGCTTCTTGATGAGCATACACCATTAAGTGGCATTTGATTTCTGGGATGCTGATGGATCTGCTCTTTCAATGCAGGACTGAGATCTTTATACATTGTGTCTGTTTTTCTATCTTTATTTATTTGTTTGCCTGAGAGGTGGAGAGACAGGAGGAGATGGAGAAAGCTCCTATCTATTTGTTTACTCCCAAAATGCCTGTAAGGGTTGCAGATGGGCCAGGCTGAAGCCAAGAGTCAGGAACTCAATCGAGATCACCTTAGACTGAGTGTGTGGCAGGTCCTCAACTACTTGAGACATCACGCACTGCTTTCTAGGGTTTACATGAGCAGGAAGGCAGAATTGGGGATGGAGCTGAAACTCAAGCACAAGAACTCCATTGTGGGATGTGGGTATCACAAATGGGAGAGAGTGAGAGAGAGCGAGCGAGAGCGAGCGAGAGTGAGCGAGAGAGATCTTTCATCTGCTGGTTCGTTCCCCAAATATCCAAAACAGCCATCCTTGTCTCCCAAATAGGTGGCAGGAATTCAAGTACTTTGGTCATCATCTGCTGCTTCCCAGCTGGATCAGAAGGGGAGGAGCTGTAACTCAAACCAGCACTCTGAGACGTGATGCGGGTATCCCAGGTGGCAGCTTAACCCAGCATGCCACAGTGCCTGCCCAATATCCCCCTATTTTTTTTTTAAACTTCTTTTCATTACTTTCAGAATAGAACTTTCCCCTTTTCCTGCTTCGGGTCCTATACGGTGGTGGTTCCAAGGCCGTACTCTTTTGTAAAACACTTTCAATTTTCACTGCGGCTCAGTTTCTCCAGTGGCTTGACTTTCTGTTTTATGGATGAATGTAATTGCTTCCTTGTTTTCGTACCACTGTTAGAAGTATCTGCAGGACCCCCTCCCCCCTTTTAAAACATTTTTAACAGAATCCTGACACCACAGAGAAGAGAGTAAGCAAAAACAGTGAGTAAATTACACAGGTGCTGGCCCCACACAAGGCATCATGGGAAATCTGCCTTAGGGGTCTCTGGTCTACACGTGCCACTTTGTGAACTTTTGTGATTATGTTGTGTGGGGGAATCTGAGAATGAGTGGAGGAATTTATCACAGTGGAGGGGGCCAGGTGTGTCCTTTCTTGCTTCAGGGCACTGAATAAACCGTGTGCTGTGCACCTGTGTCTTGACTGCAGCGCATTACACGAGGTCAGGTGTGAAATTTTCTACCTGTGATGTCACGTTCAAGGCTCAAACAGCTCTGGACTGTGGAGCATTTCTGATTTGGGTTTTCAAATAAAGAACATATAACATATACATATAGTTGATCCTAATAGTCCCACCTGATCCACTTTATTTCTAAAATATCTGTTGAATGTTTCCATCCAATTCTGACTTTATTAATTCCCCTATCTCTTTTTTCTTAATTAATTTAGCTATCAATTTCCCAAATTTATTTATTTGTCAAAAAACCAACTCCTAATTTTGTTGCTTTTCTTCAGTTTTTCCATTTTCTAACTGGTTTGTTTCTGTGCTGCTCTGTTATCTTCTTCCTTCTGCTAACTTTGTATTTATTATTGTGTTTTTCTTTTGCTAGTTCCTTGTTGTGTAATCTCAGGTTGCTTATTTGTGATAATTCCTGTTTTTAAAAGGAAAAACTTCTTTCATAGTTTTGGTTTGCTTCTTTCTTTATTTAAAAGGCAGAGAGAGGAGGGAGACACAGAGAGAAAATATCTTCCATCTGCTAGTTCATTCCCCACATGCTCACAACTGCCAGGACTGGGCAGGCTAAAGCTAGGAGCCTCCAGCTCCATCTAGGTTTCCTGCACGGGTGGCAAGGCTTGGGCCATGATCCACTTCCTTTCACAGTGACATTAGAAGAAAGTTGGATTGGGAGTGGAGTAGCTGGGTCTTGAACTGCTGTGCCACAATGTTTGTCCTTGTATTAATTTCAGAATCAGTTGGTCATTTACTACCACACATACCTTCTGAGATTTTGGCTGGAATTGCTCTATAGATCAAATTTGGGAAAATTCACATCTCAGAAACACTGAATCTCCTGATCCATGAAAGAAATTTCAAATTTTTAGGCCTTCATTATTTTCTCTGTCAGATTTATTCTTTCTTATTTCATATACTGGACAAGATCTCAAGTGGGATTTTAAACAAAATATTTATTTATTTGAAAGGCAGAGAGTTACAGAGAGGCAGAGACAGAGAGCAATAGAGAAGTCTTCCAACCACTGGTTCACTCCCCAAATGGCCACAATGGCCAGAGCTGGGCCTATCTGAAGCCAGGAGCCAGGAGCTTCTTCTAGGCGTCCTATGTGGGTTCAGGGGCACAAGGACTGGGGCCATCTTCCACTGCTTTCCCAGTCCATAGCAGAGAGCTGGATCTGAAGTGGAGCAGCCAGGACTTGAACCAACGCCCATATGGGTTATGAGTACTGCAGGAGTTGGCTTTACCTGCTACACCACAGCACTGGCCCGGGATTGAGATTTTTTGCATTTGAATTGTGCATTACAATTACATAAGTTTCTCCTGACTTTTGTGTATTGATTTTGTATCCTGCTAGAAACAAATGCTTTTCAAATTTAAGTTAGATCTGGCAGTGACCACACTTTTCGGGACTTCCAAGTTTGCCAGGTGAGAGGAATCTTCCTCACTACACTTGGAACTTTGTCACCAGCCCACAGATTCCCCACTCAAAGTTCTGTGGCTAGGCAGAGTTTCTGCTTTGTGGACAAATGAGTGGGAAAGGTATGTTCATCAGTAACTTTTCCTTAAGAGTAACCAATCATTTGATGAGCCCTCCCGTTTATCCTGTTTAGTTGAAACACTGCGGCTGCAAGATTTAGATGCCAGTGTTGTCCCTATTTTCAAAAGTTTAAATTTAGTTCAGGATAATCTATCCCAGCATTAAGTAGTGTTAGGGGCTCTGGGAAGATATGCAATAAAATATCCATTAAATATCACAAACTAGTGATTTGTCTTATTTCTGATGTGATTTACTAAACAATAATTCCAAACACATTAGAGTAATTAGTAATGGCAGGCTGAGGGAGTTTGTTGTGTGACACTCAATAGCCTTAGGATACAGCAGATCCTTTTCCATATCTGGAGTAGGTTTCCATGGCCCTCAATCTGCAGTGGGATTTGTAGGCCTTTATTGTACTAACAACATTCCCTCAAGGGAGGGTGAAGGATTCTTCAGTTTAAGTCATGTCACAATTAACATGCACAGTATATTCACGTCACTCTTTAGTTATTGGCTTCCATAACCAATCAGGTACAGCTTGTTCATCTGACAACTCACAAGGTCACATTCCCAGTGGAACAGGTGACTATGTCCCAGAGAAAATAGAGCAGTCATTTGTCACTAGATGTCTCTCCTAGAGTTTATCCTTGATAGGCTAAAACATGTTCTTTAAAATGTCTTTTTTAAAAAAATAATTTTGTCTCTTTGTTTTTAAAGTCCAGTTACTCAAATAAATTGATTTTACAGCTCAGATTTTGTGTCTCCATGCTCTGCCTATTTGACACAACCCATGAGTTAGCATAAATGTAGATTTATTCCCACTGGTTTAGAGACAACCAATCAATAGTACTTCTATTACATAA